CCCTTTTCTTATTTTTAATCTCTTGTTTTACTTCTCTACTAAGCCACATTGGTTTTAATTTGTTTCTTTTATATTTATTTCCCAACGGTACATACTGAGAAATGTACCTTTCTAATATTTGTTGGAAGATGATCCATTTATCCTCAGTGTTCTTTTCACTAAAGAGTTTATGCCAGTCGATATGTTGTAAAGCTGCCCTTAACTTATTGAAATTGGCCTTTTTAAAATTATATGTTTTAGTATTCCCCATGTGCTTTTGTTTTTTTGAGTTTATTTCAAAGGACACTATATTGTGATCACTATTTCCCAAGTGCTCACCTACTTGAATGTTGGTCAAAAGATCAACGTTGTTTGTTAAAACCAGGTCCAGACAAGCGTCCATTCTAGTTGGTGCTTGTACAAGTTGTGACATGAAGGTGTCATTTAACAAGTTTAAAAACCTAATTCCCTTTGCTGAGGCACTAGTCCCTCTGTCCCAATTTATATCCGGGTAATTAAAATCTCCAATAATTAAAGTGTTACCCAGATTTGCAGCTTTCTCAATTTACTCAAACAGCTGTTGTTCCTCGTCAATATTAACATTGGGTGGTTTATAACATATCCCAACCAATAGCTGGTTTCCCTTCTTTTCCCCCAAGCAGATATTTACACATAAAGCTTTCACATTTTCCTCATCGCATTCCATTTGCTTAACATTTGGCTTTAAATCATGGTTGACATACAAACATACCCCACCACCCTTCTTGTTTTTCCTATCCTTCCTAAATAACATGTACCCATTTAAGTTAGCTGCCCAGTCATGTGTTTCATCCCACCATGTTTCAGTTATGCCTATTATATCATATTGTTTAGTGTATGCTAATGCCTCTAGTTCCCCCATTTTGTTATTTAGGCTCCTTGCATTAGTAAGCATACATTTAATATTATGCGTCACTTGTATATTTTGTGAATTATCAACATTACATAGCTTCTCTGTTCTGAGCTTGCCCCTCCCCCCGTCTCCACCCCCCTTATACTGTGCTAAAGCCCATCTCCTTTCTGTCCTATCTCCATTTTGTAGATTGCTATGACCCCACCCCCCCACTACTAGTTTAAAATCTCCTCCAACCTTCTAGCCATCCTATCCCCCAGCACTGCAGACCCTCTCCCGTTTAGGTGCAATCCATCACCACTATAAAGGTTGTACCCAATCACAAAGTCGGCCCAGTGCTCTAAAAACCCCAAACCCTCCTTCCTGCACCAAGAATTAAGCCACGCATTGACCTCTCTAATCTCCCGCTGCCTTTCCACTGTAGCGTGTGGCACAGGTAATATCTCAGAGAATACCACCTTGGAGGTCCTTTTCTTACATTTGCTACCTAATTCCCTGAAATCATTCTTTAGGACCTTCCATCTTCCTCTTACTTTGTCACTGGTACCAACATGGACCATGACCGCTGGGTCATCCCCAGCCCCAATAATCCTTCCACTCTGTCAGCAACATGCCGGACCCGAGCACCCAGGAGACAGCAAACTGTCCGGTTGAGCCGATCAGAGTGGCAGATTGCCCTCCCTACCACCACAACCTGTCTTGCCTGCCTTACATTTTGATCCCCACCCGTACTAGGGGGGCTGTTAGCTCGGCTGTTAGAAGTAACAGCTTCCTCTAATACAGCTACTCCTGAGCTGATGCTCCCAACATCTTCCCTCAAATGGGCAAATCTGCTAGGTTGCACCAAATCAGGACTAGCTAGCCCTTTCCTCTTCCCTCCCCCCTGCTTCCTCGCCCCACTGTCACCCAGCTACATGCCTGTTCCCCATCTGTCTTATCTCCTCCCTCTCCACTACCTGTCCCCACTAAACTCTGCTCAGTGAGCAGCAGACTCCTCTCAAGATTGTCAATCTCCCTCAAAGTTGCGATTTGCTTCTCGAGATCTCCAATCTGAGATTCCAGAGAAGCCACTCTCACACAACCACCACAGAGGTATGGACCCTGGACGGGTATATCCAGGCATCCATACATGCAACAAGATGTGCATTGAGTCAAACCAGCAATCTTGCTAACACTCATTTCCCCAGAAACAGAAAATAAAAACAATTACCTAGTTAGTTTAAACCCCTAGTTAGTTTAAATTCCTAGTTTTCTAACTCCTACTTGAAAGAGTCTACTTAATAGAGTCTGCTTTCAAATAATGTGAGCAAGCTCAGTGAGTTAGGGGTGTGCCTTTATGGGGATACAAATCCCACACAGGTGCAATTGATGAACACTCCCCCAATCAATCAAGCAGCAGCACAAAAAAGGGGGGGAAACCAGAACACAGAAAAAAAAGAAAATTTTTAAAAAAACAAAACTTTTTTTTTTTTTTAAACCTTACCAATTTTAAAGATTAAACAAAAATAAAATACAAACCACTCTCCACAGTAGTTGGTAGATGTGTTGTAGTAAGTGCATGTGTTGTAGTTGGTAGGGGAGTTGTAGTAAGTGCAGGAGTTGTAGTTGCTAGAGGAGTTGTAGTAAGGACAGGTGTTGGTAGAGGAGTTGTAAGTGCAAGTGTTGTAGTTGGTAGGGGAGTTGTAGTAAGGGCAGATGTTGTAGTTGGTAGAGGAGTTATAGTAAGTGCAGGCGTTGAAGTTGGTAGGGGAGTTGTAGTAAGGGCAGGTATTGTAGTTGGTAGATGTGTTGTAGTAAGTGCAGGAGTTGTAGTTGGTAGGGATGTAAACCTATTCATATGGTTTTTTCCTATTCGGCTGTTTATAGCATTCGTATGGTTCCGGTTCAGCTGTTTACGGCATTCACATGCTTCTCCAGTTCGGTGGATTGGTGTCTACAGTAGCTGTGTCTCTGGAAGGGAAGATCTACTAAACGGTGGTTTAACCTTTTTATGCCCGCTACAGCCTTCTTTTTCAGCGCTTTCCTTGGATTACTTTATTCTACCAGCGGAGATATTGGGATAGAATATTGCAGCTCCGCTACATTAATGTTAGCAAGTAGTGGCTATTTAATGTCTGCCAGTTTCACAAGTAGTGACCGGGAGTTTCTAGAATCCATTACTAAAAAGTCACTCACCAACAGCTCAAATTATTATTATGGGAAGAGCTTAGCAACCCTGTGACTACTTTACCGGCTAACTGACGCGTGTAAAATCTCGCAGTTTTAAAGGAGTAATTGCAAATTGTCAATATCTCTTTGATGAACTTCGGTTTGGCGTGGTGGATCTAATATTGTCACTACTTTGAAGGCTTCAGGCTGGGAATGTTATTGGACATTTTCACCACTTTCCAATACCCCACATCAGACCAGAAAATCTCACAAATCTTTTAGAAGAAATACCAGAGTAAATATTTTTCTTGCTTATGCTGGAGTTTATGTGTACGAAGAAATTCAGCCTTATATTGCTAGTTTAGTTTTATGCTTTTTTTTCTTCTCTTGAGTTTAACATGCTAAGCAACGGTCAGCATGGAAAGGGTCTAGTTTCTAGAGCCTACCCCATAAATTGGGCAACATAGGATGGCAAAGATATGTGTCCTTTCACCTACTGAGTTATGAGTTATTTTAGTGCAAGTTACGTGACAATACCGTGTCTTCCACTGCATTAACTGTAGAGAAGGGAAGGACATCGCAGTGTCAAATCTGGGCTGAGTAATCAACTATGACTCGCTTATTAACAATGATGACTCTTAATAAGTGTGGCTAAACAATGGTAAACACCCAAGACAAGAAAGTCAGTATTAACACACACTCTATATGCACAAGTTCACCGTTTCTGGTTCAAAAAGGCTAGGGGTTTCTGGGTTCACCTGTTGAATAGTATGTAAAAGATTTCATAAAGTATAACATTAAACTTCACCAACTTTAATTCTAATTCTCTCTCATACACTGACCTGAACATTGTCTTTCAAACTGGGTAGATACATACACACACACACACCTGTCCCCCTCCCCCCACACACACACCCACCACCACCACCACCACCATATTTAGGTACACATTTACAAAATGTATGAGAATAGATAACTGTGCCTCAATATTTTGTATGGGATTGTCCTGGATCTGAGAGCCCATGTAATTGTGTGTATGTTTTTACTGTAGTCTACTGTAGTCCAGGGGGGAGAGCCCCTTGCATGGGGACCTGCATATAAGGCCAGTTGTGGCTGCCAATAAACGTATTCCAGCTTGTACTCCCAGTACTATGTGTCATCCGGTTACTGGGAAAGGAAAGGGCTAATCACTGTTCCAGCTTGTTCCAACTTGTTCCAGCGTGGAGGATTCAGCGGGGAAAATCCTTGTTAGGACTAGAGCTCCCAGGACTGAGTGTCATCCAGTGCCTTGAGGTGTCTAGAGCGAATTCCCCATTCGGCTCCAGGATGGAGTGGTTCCAGGACCCCAGTCAAGCCACGTGACTGTGGGCAGAACTGCTGCGCTTTGTCCCATATTCCAGCTAGGAAGCGGTCCTGGTGGAGGTACCCAGCAGGGGTACAGGGAGCTAAGTTACAGTATATTTTGGGGAATGTAGATTCCCAAGATGGTAGGAGAATGTAAAATTATATGGGATCATAAGGTCCACTATGAAGACAGTTACCTATCTAAAAACAGACACCCAAATGTCTAAGGCAATTACCAGAGGCTACTGTCACCTTGATCTAGGCCATGATTCTTCCAAAACACCCTCACTACTTTTTGCTCCTTTCCTTTATTTTCTTTTCAAGACAACTGCACATATTAGATACCTGTGTGGTATGCGAGAGGGAACATGAAAATGACACAGTCCCTATGTACAATGCAGAGAATCCTAAGAGCTCTAAATGAGAATACAGTTTCATAGCCAGGTTAGTACCAGAACGTGAGCTCTGGTAAATAATTATATTCTACTATATTTCAATTTCTATTCTAATGAGAAAAAAGCAATGATATATAATTGGTAATAGTGATTTTGTTTTTGTTATGGATGACCCTTGCAAATCACACATAGACACCATTCAAATAACTGCAAATTAAATAAATTCGGTTTGGGGTTTTTGCAAAAATGTTTATTTTATAATATAACAAGAATAAATTAAATAGTGTCAGTCCAAAGCAATAATAACATTTTACAATATAAATATACATCAATACTGGCTGGGTTGTAAGGCTACGTATAATGCAGATAAAATGTACTCTATATATACATACACATCTTTTATATATATATACACACATGTACTTATTTTAGTTAGATAAGATATGTAACTTTATTATTTTATTCACAAAACTGCAACTGTCTAGATGTAACAAAAAAATTGCAAATATTAGACAAAATTTAAAAATGGATCAGAAACATTCTCCATTTCAGTAATTTACAGCTAAAATGTGAATTTCTCTCTTCAATTCTCAACAGTTAGCAGTTTAATGAGTACACTATTGCAATAAATAAATAGATTCTTAAGGATTTTGCAATACTAATACATGATATTTAAACACTTTCTATCCAAAGATTATTAAATAAATAGTGAAAACTATGCCTTTGATTTAATATTCTTGGATAAGCTTTTCAACTGATTTAATATCTTTGGATAAAGTTTTAAAATTATTTTTTGTCAAAATATATAAAAAATATATAAATATGCCAAAAAGTATGTCAGAATATTAAAATACAACTGTATTTTTCAAAATATTAAATCATTTTAATAGCTTTTACAAAAATATTAAATTGAGGCTTATATATTGCAAATTCTCAGTTATGTGAGTCCCAGCCCCACTGAACATTCAAGTGATTCGTCAATTAAACCTTGGTTGGAATGTTCCTAAACATGGCTAGGTTTCTGTATAGTTACCACCAGTCTAGCCTTGTTTTTCTAGGAAGTTTCCGCATCTTTAAAATAATACAATAAATCAGAGTGCAGGAGATTCACACTTATTCTATAGGCTGAATTCACTCACACTTGGAAATCAGTTTAAAGATTTGTGATATTCACTGTAACGGCTAAACGGCTAATAACTAAGCTCAGTAAACAAATCTAGGGAAAAAAGCAGCCTTAAACATGTCAATTATAGCTGCAACCAGCAACACTTTATAAGATAATCAGTACAAATCACAAAGAAGACATGCCAAGGTCTATAAGACGTGAGACTGAGAATCTCCTGGGTACTTTTTTAATGTATTTACTCTCCGCAGCGCATGGGGTGGAGAAAGAAAAGAGCCCACTAGACCTATATTGCTTTTTTCTGAGCGTTCCGGAGGTTCTCACTTTTTTGCAATTTATTTTTTATATTGTATGGTAGTCAGTCATCTCAGTCTGACTGTATGCCAATCATGTAGATTATATAACTATTATATTGTATTTTCAGTGCTACAGGGAAAGATCACTGCATATAAAGAGTTATTTTTACTTGTGCACTTTTCTAGGGAGACCAGGTGTAGCTCCAGAAAAATTACCTTTATGTGCCCTTGAAACCTCAGTGCCATTTGTGAATACAGAATGACATTGTGGTTCCTCTAGTTTACTACGGAGATTCCTCCAGTGAGAAGTGTTTAATAATAGGCATAACAGCAGAGTTACACCTGCTAGTAAATAGCATTTTTAGAGTAACTTTGCTTCCATGCCAGTTTAAATCCCAAGATCGCTTAGTGAATCAATGTGGATTATTTGTGGCTCTGTCCAGATTGTTGTGCTCTTTTATGAAGTTCGTAGTTCTCTGACTGACTTGATAGTCGTCTAATGTTTGGTCTTGACTGGTTTCCATGCTCAGGGTCTCGGACCATGGAGAGACGTGTAGGGTTCCACCACCTTGAATGTGTAAAGTAGGCAGGATAACTCTCTACAGTGTAGGTGGCAGAGGTCCTTGCACAGGCCAAGAACTGGAGGGAAAAGACATTAGGAGAAAAGTGTTAGGGAAACTCATTGACAGTTAATTTTGCGGCGGATGAACTATTTAGAAAATGGTGTCCAGACTTCTTAGTATGACTTTTAAGACATGAGAAATATCTAGGATATAATTTTAGCTGCCCATCAGACATATTGTTATTGGAAAGAATGTGTTATTTGTTAATGTGTTAATAAGGTAATTTAATATAGAGATAGTGTTACTGAAATAAATGCCGTGGACGTATTAAAGTTTCGAAAAATGAATTGGGTAATGCTTAGGAAGTGCTTCTAGAGTCCTGTGAATGGGAAGCATGAGTTACTAATTAATACAATTCCAATAAGAGTAAATGTAAACTCTATAATGTTACATTTTATATATTTCAATACATCAATGGCATATTATTAATGATTAAAGTCATAATTAACATTTGTCAGTTGAACATAAATCAGTGGTTACGGGTTGCTGTTATTGGCTTCAGCAATTTCGATTCAGAAATATTTAAAACAGTCATTTATTTAAGACAAATACTTACTCCAAACAGCAATCCCAAGATTAAGGCAACTCCCAGAATTACTACTAATCCCATCAAGATAATACCCCAGTATGGAACTGTAAGAAAGCAGAAATGATTATTACAAAAGTAAGCCCATAATCATATAGTGTATCCGTGAATGTACCTGCCAGTTCAGAGCTGGCCCTTCTCCTGACTTGTCCCACCCACATATATTTTGAGGGTTTTTTTAAACTCCACTTCCAGTTTATGATTTCCAAAACAAGTGTTGGCCCTCAAAAGCCAGAGGTAATGAGTCATACTCAGTCTGCCGCTGAACAAATTAGATACAGTATTACCCTGAGTAGCTGTGTTTTACTGCTGATGGGGATTATCCATATACTGAACACATTGTACAGAAACACTGTCTATATGTCATTGATAATGGATACACTTTGTACATTGATATTTTATATCTCACCTGCAAGTTGGTCAGAAGTGGTTTCGGTAGTGCTCTGGGTCGTGGCACTGTTCCCTCCAGCGGAGGCTGCAGATAGAATTATTATATGTAAGACTGCATATATATCACACGACATATTGGTCATATTCACTAAAATGGAAACTATGGAGAATGGGTTCTAGATTCTTCCCATTTCAGCCACGTGACTAATAATTAGTCATTGAGAATTGCCAGTATAACCTTGATAGTGAAAATTCCAACAGTTTATTCTACATTAAGGCCTTTACCGTACATTGCTCTGTATGCGTCAGCTCCAGGCATGTAAAGATTACTGCGAGGGTTAGTTACTACTAATTATTGTTGGGAATTCAAAGTGAAACTTTAGTTGATGAGCAAAATAGTCAAACTCGAAAAACAGCTCCAAGTTTAGCTTCCTGTCCAGTTATTTGGCCTTCAATTGAAATAACCCTGTATAGCGAATAACCCTGTATAGCGAATAACAGGGTAGGCGAATAACCCTGTATAGCGAATAACCCTGTATAGTGAATAACCATGTATAGTGAATAACCCTGTGTAGGGAATAACTGTGTATAGTGAATAACCCTGTGTAGGGAATAACCCTGTATAGTGAATAACCGTGTAGAGCGAATAACCCTGTATAGCGAATAGCCGGGTATAGCGAATAACCCTGTATAGCGAATAACCGGGTATAGTGAATAACCCTGTATAGAGTAAAACCGTGTATAGTGAATAACCCTGTATAGTGAATAACCCTGTATAGCGAATAACTAGGTATAGTGAATAACTCAGTGAAGCATTGCATTTAACATCCTACAGAAAGTCCTACCACTCTCAGGCCTCACTTCACACTCAAACTCAATGAAGCACTGCATTTAACATCCTGCAGAAAATCCTACCACTCTCAGCCATCACCTCCAAACTTCCCCTGCTACCTCTTGTCTCAAATCCCCATTGTATCCTTTAGATTGTAAGGTCACGGGCCATCTAGCTAAGCACTTTGTATAAAAGAGCTCCAATGGCTAGATATCAGCTAACGGGCAGGGCTCTCTCTACCTCTTGTATTTTTCTGTGTATACTGTACATTCTCCACTAATTGTACAGCGCTGCAGAATCTGTTGGCACTTTATAAATACCAGTAATAATTAATAAATAAATAAATTCGGGACTTTTGGGAGTTTTACAATATGCCCTTGTTACCATTAGTCCAGCAAGCTAGCCAAAGAGGGTCATACATGAGTAGAAACAGAGCCACATATACTATTCTATAGGTAGCTAGTCCAGCAAGGTAGCCATAGATGGCCATACATGAGCAGAAAGAGAGCCACAGATACTATTCTAAATGTAGAGATTTTCTGGAATAACCCAGAGCAGCTAAATACACATCATAACAGCCTTTCTCACTGCAGTTTAGGTTTTCTCTGAAGTGTCTCCAGAATCAAGACGCAATCAGGAAACATTGGGACTGTTCAAACTATTTTAAAGAACTCAGAGCCCAGAATTGCTTTTTGTTGCAGAGTATTTGGAAAAGTTGACTAGCATACAAATTGGTTATTAGGTCTGTATACTCACTTTGTAGTCCATTATTTGTAGCAGTGGATATGGTTCCTGTAGAGCCAGTTACAGGAGATGCTGTAGTAGTTGAAGTCCCAATACCAGTGGATCTTGTAGTAGCTGTTATCCCAGTAGTAGTGGATCCTGCAGTAACTGTTGTCTCAGTGGTAATAGATCCTGTAGTAACAGTTGTCCCAGTGGTAGTGGATCCTGTACTAACTGTTGTCTCACTAGTAGTAGATCCTGTAGTAACTGCTGTTCCAGTAGTAGTGGATCCTGTAGTAACTGCTGTTCCAGTAGTAGTAGATCCTGTAGTAACTGCAGTCCCAGTAGTAGTGGATCCTGTAGTAACTGCTGTTCCAGTAGTAGTAGATCCTGTAGTAACTGCTGTTCCAGTAGTAGTGGATCCTGTAGTAACTGCTGTTCCAGTAGTAGAAGATACTGTAGTAACTGCTGTTCTAGTAGTAGATCCTGTAGTAACTGCTGTTCCAGTAGTAGAAGATCCTGTAGTAGCTGCTGTTCCAGTAGTAGTATTAACTTCTGCCACAGTAGTAGAAGATCCTGTAATAACTGCTGTCCCAGTAGTAGAAGAGCCTGTAGTAACTGCTGTTCCAGTAGTAATAGATTCTGTAGTAACTGCTGTCCCAGTAGTAGAAGATCCTGTAGTAGCTGATGTTCCAGTAGTAACTGCTGTCCCAGTAGTAGAAGATCCTGTGGTAACTGCAATAGTAGATCCTGTAGTAACTGCTGTTCCAGTAGTAGAAGATCCAGTAGTAACTGCTGTCCCAGTAGAAGTCAATTCAGTAGTAACTGCTGTCCCAGTAGTAGTCAATTCAGTAGTAACTGCTGTTCCAGTAGTAGAAGATCCTGTAGTAGCTGCCGTTCCAGTAGTAGTGGATCCTGTAGTAACTGCTGTCTCAGTAGTAGAAGATCCCGTAGTAACTGCTGTTCCAGTAGTAGTAGATACTATAGTAACTGCTGTCCCAGTAGTAGAAGATCCTGTAGTAACTGCTGTTCCAGTAGTAGTAGATCCTGTAGTAATTGCTGTCCCAGAAGTAGAAGATCCTGTAGTAGCTTCTGTTCCTGTAGTAGTTGATCCTGTAGTAACTGCTGTCCCAGTAGTAGAAGATCCTGTAGTAACTGCAGTAGTAGTAGATCCTGTAGTAACTGCTGTCCCAGTAGTAGAAGAGCCTGTAGTAACTGCTGTTCCAGTAGTAATAGATTCTGTAGTAACTGCTGTCCCAGTAGTAGAAGATTCTGTAGTAACTGCTGTTCCAATAGTAGTAGATCCTGTAGTAATTGCTGTCTCAGTAGTAGAAGATCCTGTAGTAGCTGCTGTTCCAGTAGTAGTGGATCCTGTAGTAACTGCTGTCCCAGTAGTAGTCAATCCAGTAGTAACTGCTGTTCCAGTAGTAGAAGATCCTGTAGTAGCTGCTGTTCCAGTAGCAGTGGATCCTGTAGTAGCTGCTGTCTCAGTAGTAGAAGATCCAGTAGTAACTGCTGTTGCAGTAGTAGTAGATACTGTAGTAACTGCTGTCCCAGTAGTAGAAGATCCTGTAGTAATTGCTGTCTCAGTAGGAGAAGATCCTGTAGTAGCTGATGTTCCAGTAGTAGTGGATCCTGTAGTAACTGCTGTCCCAGTAGTAGAAGATCCTGTGGTAACTGCAGTAGTAGTAGATCCTGTAGTAACCGCTGTCCCAGTAGTAGAAGATCCTGTAGTAACTGCTGCTCCAGTAGTAATCAATCCAGTAGTAACTGCTGTTCCAGTAGTAGAAGATCCTGTAGTAGCTGCCGTTCCAGTAGTAGTGGATCCTGTAGTAACTGCTGTTTCAGTAGTAGAAGATCCAGTAGTAACTGCTGTCCCAGTAGTAGAAGATCCTGTAGTAACTGCTGTTCCAGTAGTAGTAGATCCTGTAGTAATTGCTGTCCCAGTAGTAGAAGATCCTGTAGTAGCTTCTGTTCCAGAAGTAGTTGATCCTGTAGTAACTGCTGTCCCAGTAGTAGAAGATCCTGTAGTAACTGCAGTAGTAGTAGATCCTGTAGTCACTGCTGCCCCAGTAGTAGAAGAGCCTGTAGTAACTGCTGTTCCAGTAGTAATAGATTCTGTAGTAACTGCTGTCCCAGTAGTAGAAGATTCTGTAGTAACTGCTGTTCCAATAGTAGTAGATCCTGTAATAATTGCTGTCTCAGTAGTAGAAGATCCTGTAGTAGCTGCTGTTCCAGTAGTAGTGGATCCTGTAGTAACTGCTGTCCCAGAGGTAGAAGATCCTGTAGTAGCTTCTGTTCCAGTAGTAGTTGATCCTGTAGTAACTGTTGTCCCAGTAGTAGGAGATCCTGTAGTAACTGCAGTAGTAGTAGATCCTGTAGTAATTGCTCTCTCAGTAGTAGAAGATCCTGTAGTAGCTGCTGTTCCAGTAGTAGTGGATCCTGTAGTAACTGCTGTCCCAGTAGTAGAAGATCCTGTAGTAACTGTTGTTCCAATAGTAGTAGATCCTGTAGTAATTGCTGTCTCAGTAGTAGAAGATCCTGTAGTAGCTGCTGTTCCAGTAGTAGTGGATCCTGTAGTAACTGCTGTCCCAGTAGTAGTCAATCCAGTAGTAACTGCTGTTCCAGTAGTAGAAGATCCTGTAGTAGCTGCTGTTCCAGTAGCAGTGATCCTGCAGTAGCTGCTGTCTCAGCAGTAGTAGATCCAGTAGTAACTGCTACAGTAGCAGATACCGCAGTAACTCGATGTCCCAGCAGTAGAAGATCCTGGTAGTAATTGCTGCCCCAGTAGCAGAAGATCCTGTGCAGCTGATGTTCCAGTAGTAAGTGGATCCTGTAGCACGCTGTCCCAGTAGTAGAAGATCCTGTGGTAACTGCAGTAGTAGTAGATCCTGTAGTAACCGCTGTCCCAGTAGTAGAAGATCCTGTAGTAACTGCTGCTCCAGTAGTAGTAGATCCAGTAGTAGTCAATCCAGTAGTAACTGCTGTTCCAGTAGTAGTGGATCCTGTAGTAACTGCTGTTTCCGTAGTAGAAGATCCAGTAGTAACTGCTGTCCCAGTAGTAGAAGATCCTGTGGTAACTGCAGTAGTAGTAGATCCTGTAGTAACTGCTGTCCCAGTAGTAGAAGATCCTGTAGTAACTGCTGCTCCAGTAGTAGTAGATCCAGTAGTAACTACTGTCCCAGTAGTAGTCAATCCAGTAGTAACTGCTGTTCCAGTAGTAGAAGATCCTGTAGTAGCTGCCATTCCAGTAGTAGTGGATCCTGTAGTAACTACTGTTTCCGTAGTAGAAGATCCAGTAGTAACTGCTGTCCCACTAGTAGAAGATCCTGTAGTAACTGCTGTTCCAGTAGTAGAAGATCCTGTAGTAATTGCTGTCCCAGTAGTAGAAGATCCTGTAGTAGCTTCTGTTCCAGAAGTAGTTGATCCTGTAGTAACTGCTGTCCCAGTAGTAGAAGAGCCTGTAGTAACTGCTGTTCCAGTAGTAATAGATTCTGTAGTAACTGCTGTCCCAGTAGTAGAAGATTCTGTAGTAACTGCTGTTCCAGTAGTAGTAGATCCTGTAGTAATTGTTGTCTCAGTAGTAGAAGATCCTGTAGTAGCTGCTGTTCCAGTAGTAGTGGATCCTGTAGTAACTGCTGTCCCAGTAGTAGAAGATCCTGTAGTAACTGCAGTAGTAGTAGATCCTGTAGTAACTGCTGTCCCAGTAGTAGAAGATCCTGTTGTAACTGCTGTTCCAGTAGTAGTAGATCCAGTAGTAACTGCTGTCCCAGTAGTAGTCAATCCTGTAGTAACTGCTGTTCCAGTAGTAGTAGATCCTGTAGTAACTGCAGTCCCAGTAGCAGTGGACACTGGGGTAGCTGTTGGGGAAGTAGCAGTGGATGCTGTAGTTGTTGCTGGTTCAGTAGTAGTTGCAGATCCCGTAGAAATGGTGGTGCCTTAATGAAAAAAAAATGAAAAAACAACAGCAACACTGAGTTACAAAAACAATCACAGCATATTGTAGACAGAAAATGTATTACTAGTCAGTAATTCTATAATGGTCGCTTGAATTGTGTGTGTGTTTTTTTAGTAGGAGCTACTGTGGCTGTTGTACTGTATTTAGCAGTAAACGTGGGTGCTGTAGTAGCTGTAGGAGTTGAGTGTAGTACTGGTAGGGAGCGATTGTATTTGGGTGCACCTGATGAAGAGGGGACAGCTGTAGTGATGACTAATGCCATAGGGGTTGGTAGATCTGTAGTAGTGGGTGCTCATTTTGTTAGCATTTCAGTGCGGGTGCAAAAATGTGGCAGAAGCTCATGTAGAATGATGTGGGTGTAAAAGGCAGCTGCAGTGGGTGCATCTCTGTTTAAGGTGTACTTATAGTAGTGGGGAATGCAATGCAGTAGTTGTAGCCATGTGTGAGAATAACTGTATATATATATATATTTCGAGTTGTTGTGGGAGTCCCTTCACATATTTCACATCTTTATTACACAGTAAAGGGTTACGCCAAGCATCATGGCCATTTTAGTGCAGCATCATTAGAAAGTTCTGTGTTGGCTAATGTCAGTCCTCTGTATATTTGGTGCAAAGTTCCATTAAACGACTGAGCAGCAGCTGACACGCTCAATAAATGAATAGCTGAACCAATATCTCTGCAGAAGCCAGATACTGGTTGGCCAGCATTAAAGGAGGCTTGTGCCCAGTGTGACCCAGGTACGAAGGCTAACCATTAATGAACAGTTTACACTCTCAGCAGGGAAAGACAGCAAGGTACTTATGTCACCATAACAATTCTAGCGGTCCGTAGTGGTAACTTGGTCCAACCCTATCTCCTAGTTAAATTAACCTGCTTTACCTCCCACCCTATCATATACCATTCCTCATCTCCCAGTCATTTATGCCTCCCCAACCATTCACATTCACATTATTAGTTTGTACCACTACTCCCAAGATGAGATGCACACACCCAAATCATCCACCCCAACTATCCAGTCACATACTATAAGCTAGCCACTTTTATACATCCATTCACCAACCCAGTAATTGTATCTGTTGAATCGCACTCAAATACTACTACCAATCCTTTCATATACCTTACCATCAGCTACGCACATATCCACATACATATTACATGAATATCAAGAGGAGCAAGCACAAGCAAAAATATAAGATTCATAGTCTTCGGGGATGGACTTGGGTAAAATGACCTCTTGGGCCCCTTACATCAGTGTATACACACACACACATGAGTATACACACACACACACAAATGTTGGTATGTTGGTTGGTGCATATATATATATACACACAATTTGTATTTATTTATATTTATTCAAAATGTTGGTGCAATCATATATTTATTTTATTATATATTTATACAAGCTCACCGGCACATTCATAAGCTCACTCACAGGCATACAAACTCACTACTGAAAAAGTACTACTCACAGATCAATACAGAAAGCTCACAACACACAAGCTCGCCCAGAGACAGTCAAGCTCACTATATAAAATTCACTACATACAGCTCAATACACACACATACCAAACTCACTACAGAAACTCAATGTAATATACAAGTGCACTACAAACATCTAACTACACACAAATGCACACTGCTCACTATAGACAGTTCACTGACACACACACACACACACACACAAGCTCACTACACACAGCTCAGTACAGAAAGTTCACTGACACACCCACACACGCTTACTGACACATACACAAGCTGACTACATACAAGATCACTGGCATAAACACAAACAAAAGATCACAAGCTCACACAGCTCACTACTGACAGTTCACTGACACGCACACAATGTCACTACACACAAACTCACTGACATGCACACACAAACTCACTAATCCCACAAAAAAAGCTCACTAAACACAAGCTCACTATGCACACACACAGGTTCACTACACAAACACACTACACACTCTCACTGACACACAAGCTCATTAAACACAACCTAACTAAACACACGTTCACTATGCACAAACACAAGCTCACTAAACACACACACAAGCTCATTGACACACACATACAAGCTCACTAAACACAAGCTCACTAACACACAAGCTCACTAAACAAAAGCTCATTTATACACACACACAACCTCATTGGCACACATGCTCACAAAACACAAGCTCACCTACGCACACACATAAGTTCACTAAACACAAGCTCATTGACACACACAAGCTAACTACACACAAGCTCACTGGCACACATGCTCACAAAACACAAGCTCACCTACGCACACACATAAGTTCACTAAACACAAGCTCACTGACACACACACACACAAGCTCACTACACACAACCTCACTGACACACATACAAGTTCACTAAACACAAACTCACTAAACACACACAAGCTCACTAAAACAAGCTCACTAAGCACACACAAGCTCACTAAACACACGCTCACTACACATAAGCTCACTAAACACAAGTTTATTTTCACACACACACAAACTCACTACACACAAGCTCACTGACACACATACAAGCTCACTAAACACAAGCTCACTGACACACATACAAGCTCACTAAACACAAACTCACTGACACACATACAAGCTCACTAAACACAAACTCACTAAACACACACAAGCTTACTAAACACAAGCTCACTAAGCACACACAAACTCATTAAACACATGCTCACTACACACAAGCTCACTAAACGCAAGTTTATTTACACACACACACAGAAGCTCACAACACACAAACCTATTAAACACTAGCTTACTACACACACAGACTCACTTTACACAAGCTCATTGACACACACAAGCTCACTACACACATACACAAGCTCACTAAACTAGTTACAAACACTATTTGCACATTGCGAAGGAGTTGCTGAAAGTTTTTGTTTTCACCTTTTTTTGTTTAGCATTGTTTAATTTAAGCTTTTAACACTATGTGCACATTGTGAGGGAGCAGTTAGCAGCCTTTAACACTACGTGCACATTGTGAAGGAGCAGTTAGTAGCCTTTAACACTATGTGCACATTGTGACGGAACAGTTAGCAGCCTTTGAGGGAGCAGTTAGTAGCCTTTAACACCATGTGCACATTACGTGGGAGCAGTTAGCAGCCAATAACTCTACGTATGCCTCAGCTCCACTGCCTCTACCCCTGTCTCTGAAACATCAACCTCCAGTATGAAAGGCTTACTGGTGTCAGGATGAATCAATATGTCAGCGGAGGCAAACCGCTGTTTGAGAGTTTCAAAGGCTTCAATTGCCTCCTTAGACCATATCGTACTACTAGCCCCCTTGCGTGTCATATTGGTGATGGGGGCTATTACTGAAGAAAATCCCTTTACAAATCTTCTGTAATAATTGGTGAAACCAATGAACCTTTGAATGGCTTTCAACCCAATGGGTAAAGGCCACTGTAGAACAGACTCTAGTTTTTTAGGATCCATCTGAAACCCCGAGGCAGAAATATTATATCCTAAAAACTGTACTTCAGACTGGTCAAAGATACATTTTCCCAATTTACACTAAAGTTGTTTTACGTGATTGTGTTGTTTTACGCAGAACTTGTTTAACGTGATTGTGGTGAGACTGGAGGTCAGGAAAATAAATAAGGATATCATCCAGATAGACCAAGACAAATGAGTAAATGTCATCCCTGTCGTAATGTCAGGATTACAGAACGATCCAGCACGTAGAATTGTGAAACACAGAGGCCTGATAGGTAACGTATACTGGACCTTAGAATGGCCGGACTAACGTACCAAAGAATCGTCAGGAATAGCCGAGGTCAAGGGATACAGAAAGAGACACAATGATGAGGAAAAGCCAGGAGTCAGGGATGCCAGAAAACAGGGAAGTCAAAAACAATGCCAAAGTCAAATAACCAGAATACCCAAAATCAATAACGCGCACTCAGACAACCACAAGGGAAACAACGACAGGGCACTGAGCAGGATGAGAACTGGGCCTAAATACCCCTCTTCTAGATCTGTTAGGCTGTAACCGGCCTATGACCCCAAAGGCAGTTACCAGGTTCCCATTTGCATAATTGCTGCTCAGCATTAACCCTTCTGTGGATTTGGTTGCTGCTCGGCTCAACTTTTCATGTGTGGACAGTAAATGTCATTAACCACATTTTTATAAGCGGATGAATACGTGACACTTCTACAGCTGCACCAGCTACAACACCAGCATCCACTACAAGAACTCCCACTGCTACACCAGCACCAAGTACTACACCAGCACTAACTTGTGGGGTCAGGGAGGCAGTGTATTAGAGTGGTGGGAGGGGAACAGTGTATATAATTGGGGGGACGTAGGTTGGGAGGGCAGTGTTTTAAATTGGGGAAGGGAGGGGGAGGGCAGAGTATTAAATTGGGGGAGGGAGGGTGCAGTGTACTAGAGTGAAGGGAGGGGAGCAGGATAAATGGCAGGGGTAGAGTTAGGGTTAGGGCTAGGGGTAGAGTTAGATTCTTGTCATCATTGCCTTAATTTTCCCTCCCTCTCCTGTTCTGCAACTTTTCAGAAATCCGAAGCACTTCTGCACTTCCGAAATTCGTCACTTTGGCTATTTGGTTTGGTTCGGCACTTCGGAAATTCAGCGTTTCAGCACTTCGGAAATTTCAGCAATTCAGACATTTGGAAGCAACCAAATGTCCGAATTCCCGAAATTCGTCTGAATTTACATTTGGACTGAAATGAATTGCACATGTCTACTCTGTTGAATGGGTGTAACACAGTCATAGAACCCTCATCTTGCTCTATTAACCCCTTCCCAGCTTGATATGGGATACCTCTCGCTCGCTCTATTAACCCCTTCCCACCTCCATGTGGAATACATCTTGCTCTATTAACCTCTTACCACCTCGATATGGAATACATCTCACTCCATTAACCCCTTCCCAACTCCATATGGCGATACATATTGCTCTATTAACCCCTCCCCCCTTGATATGGGATACATATCGCTCCATTAACCCTTCCCCATCTTGATATGGAATACATCTCGCTCTCTTTACCCCTTCCCACCTCGATATGGGATACATCTTGCTCTATTAACCCCTTCCCACCTCGATATGGGATACATCTCGCTCTATTAACCCCTTCCCACCTCAATATGGGATACATCTTGCTCTATTAACCCTTCCCACCTTGATATGGGATACATCTCACTCTATTAACCCTTTCCCACCTCGATATGGGATAAAGGAACAGGTCGAATTACAGGGCTATGTCCTAGTTAGCAGGGATCGGAGGGACCCCTCCTTTTTTTATGAAGCAAGCTCCAAAATGCCTCAGGAAGGTGGGAAATGACTGATGTTATATAACAATGGACAATAAATTCAGCAGTATATATATTATTCATAGTTGATGTAAATCTATATCTTACCTGTAGTGCTGGCTGTTGTTTGTGCATCTGAAATAGAGAAAGAAATTTTATTAAAATTTGCTTATTTTGATATACAACGAACATAGATATAGCTCACATTACTTCATTTCAAGACCACTTTAAAAAACAAATATATCTGCATTGGCAATCGACTTGAAATTGCTGAATTGGGGGGACAAAAGTCCAACTTTACTGAACTGGAGGTTTATTCCAACAGTTTTACCCTCTCGTGGTTCACTGTTTAAGAAATAAAACACAATAAAATGTAGTATATCCAAATGATATTAGTTACAGGTCAGATGTCTATTTTGATACCTTGGGTCAGTAGTTTAACCCCTTACCCTCATAACAGCTTCTATACACAGACTACATTTAGCCAATACGTTCCCGATTATCTTATTTTCTCTATTGTCAAAATAATCCCTTCTTTTATCCATTTGTAACATATTTACAGTTTGGACTCTTCTTAAAGGACAGCTGTCACCTCAAAACTATTTTCTAAAATAATAATCCTTTCATCAAGTTTTGAAAGGAAATAGAGTATATGTTAAAAAATAAATAAAATAAATTGAGGACAGACATTCAAGACCTGCCAAGAATGGGGTACATTGACGTTGTGGCAGGTTTATGCAATGTATGATCCCATACTGTAACTAAGTACCCATTATTATTGCTTAGATTAGGTGTTAAAATATATCAATACAATCTGTGAGCTTTGGAAGTTGCTGTGGAATGGATGAGTGGGTGCGCTGGATCTTGTGTGTTATTTAATAAAGGAATGGGTGAGTTTCTCTCATTCTTTTTACATATACTTCATTTTAAAAAAAGTTATTTATTTCACTATTCAATTAAAGGATTATAACATAAAAAATTTGATTTGAGGTAATAGTTGCTCTTAAAACTAAATTTCTCACCATTAAATTATGTACAAACAAGCCCATATTAAGGATATGAATGCTTTTGAAAGGTTCCCCTACGCTGCCAGCTCCCAGCTTGCAACCAGACATCTGGGAGTGTGTTTTCGAACCTGCTTTGTATCCCTGACGTGTTACTTCAATATTAATTTGCAGACCATGTGCAAAACTAATAAGCCCTCACTGAAATGAACATAATGGATATCATTTCAAATTTGTATTTTTTCTGCATTGTATTTATTTTTGTTAGGTGTTTGTAAACCAAATAAGACAAATAATTATTAAAGAATATATATTATCTATCGTACCACTGAGACTATTGAGATAAATGTAATAAAATTAAAGCATTTACAAATGTATCCAATGATTTTTTTTTTTATTGAATTGAGTATGCAGCTGTTCTATTTAGAAATTCTTGTTGATTTCTATCAGAACAAATCCATATAATTCTGATTTTATTATTTTATTTTTTTGATGAGCTATTCTGATTAAGGTTAAGGTGTCATTGAACTTATTTAAAGGACCACTCTAGGCACCCAGACCACTTCATCTTAATGAAGTGGTCTGGGTGCCAGGTCCAGCCAGGGTTAACCCATTCTTTTATAAACATAGCAGTTTCAGGGAAACTGCTATATTTATAAATAGGTTAATCCAGCCTCTAAATCATTGACAGCCGCTAGAGGCGTTTGCGTGCTTCTCACTGTGAAAATCACAGTGAGAACACGCAAGTGTCCATAGGAAAGCATTGTAAATACTTTCCTATGAGACCGGCTGAATGCGCGCACAGCTCTTGCCGCGTGTGCGCATTCAGCAGAATGGGAGGAACGGAGGAGGAGAGCTCCCCGCCCGGCACTAGAAAATAGGTAAGTTTAACCCCTTCCTCTCCCCAGAGCCGGGCGGGAGGGGACCCTGAGGGTGGGGACACCCTCAAGACACTATAGTGCCAGGAAAACAAGTATGTTTTCCTGGCACTATAGTGGTCCTTTAAATTGGTGCTTTTCTCGATAAACACAAAATATATGTATTTTGGCTGTCTTTGTGAAAGAATATCGGAAGGAAAAAATATTCTGTTTAAGGTTTTTTTCAGAAGTTAAATGTATTTTGTCATTAATGTGTATGTTTTATTAGCCCAATATTTAGACTATAGATCGTGGGATGATTTCCAGCACATAACGCTCGATTAACCTTCAACATCTTAAATATTTTTTAATAAGTTCACTATGACAAGATTACTTTGAATTGACTTCCAAATGAACTGGTTTACCTTCCTTTTTACCTTAAGGTCTCACATTTCCGATTCCAGAGTTTCCATGTTTACCTATCTTGTGTCGGATGTAAATGAGTTGATGCTTCCCATCTATTAATAGGGAGTTATTCACTAAACACTCAATTGTAGACTACCGAAAGTCAAGCTGCAAAATGGTGGCAAAAGGTATTGATTTAGGAAAATCTCCAACTCAGCTACAGTTTGCTTGTTTTGGAGAATTTTTTTAGCCCTAAATTTTGCAGTTCAGTTTTCAAATCACCACTATTCAGAATGTGGTGAAATCAGCACAGAGATGTAGCTGCTAAATTAGGAATTGTTGGGAATTTACCAGAAAATTGAAAATGTTAATTAAAATATTGACTTGGAATCATACGTTACAAAGGGGGGAGAGGAGGGAAGGGGTGCGTAAAATGTGTTATTCTCTGAGGAATTCCAGAGAAGACAGATTATTGAATAGCCCTGATTAAATAGCCCATCCTATACACCCTTGTTTAGGCCCTTTGGCTGCTGTATTCTGTATGTCTGATTTTAATGTATTTTTAAATCATCACTAACTGATGTTGCTTAAGTCTTCCTGCTAAACAAATGTGAGAACACTCCCTTTTCTGTTTTTTCGCTTGCACACCCTAATGAAATATTTTGCACATTACATTGCTCTGGGGCACTTGACATTTTCAACTTATATATTTTATTATTTTATGATATTTTCTTTCAGCAATCCAGAAGAAATGAAGTACGCATTTGTATTTATTTTATTAAGTAGCGATGCAGCAATTTCTGAAAAAGAAATTGCCACTTTTGGCTAAAATAGTTGGTAAACCAGGTGAGTTGGAGAACTTTTTATATTTCACCTAAAACTTGCAAATGGTGCTCTCTGTTCTCCACCACACCATGTTTAAATCGGATCTGTCCCTTTCGTGGTTACATATCTAGTTAGGGCCTGGTGGCCGCAGTGTACATCACTGAGGATCCCACGAGACTGCAGGTACCTCTCATAGATGTGTTGTGATGAGCGAGACCATGCCTGAATCTCACAGACCTCACTTGTGACAACTGTTGGGATTGGACAAAAGTTGACAGTGGAGCTTCCTGTCAACCTCTAGAATTACCCTAAAACAAAGTAATCCCTACTTTGTCTTATTATCTCTTTGGATTGTATTGGAATTTTCAATGAAATTCTAACTCAGTCAGCACTAGTATTTCAGAAAGATTATATCTAGTGACAACGCCACTTTTAACAAATAAACCCCCTGTACTCATCTGTACAGTGTAAAACTCCACATAGCCTGTAGCTGACACATTTACCCAACATGCAGTGTTTAGAGCATGGCTTAACCATTCATTAAATGCAGATGGCCAGTTCTTTGCTTTAATATTCTGTTTCCTCAGAGCACTGTGTGAGGAGAAGGTATATCACTATATTACGAGATTACTAATTGTAATCTTTGCTTTCATCAGAAGTATGTCAAACTACTCCAAACTAAATCTGTGTTTGCTTTTCAATTCTAAATCATATTTTATGTTGTTGTTTTTTAAATAATTACATTGTTTCAATTACATTTATAGGTAATACTTTCAATAATTATTAAAATCCAATAAATGTTCCCTGTTGCTATTCTAGAATGGACAAGTCCTAGTTTAACATATGAAAATTTTGAGTTGTAGAATATTTTCCCTCCAACCAAGGGAAACAGACTTACTTTGTCTGTTAAAAAAACAAATCAACAAAATGTCTGCCTTTTGTAAAAATGTAAATTTAAAATGAAAAAATTCCCATAAATATGCCTACCATACATCAGAAAAACTCACCTGTGATGTCAAAGAATGGGCCCAAGAACAGCAGAAAACTGGTGATGAGAAGGTACTTTGTGGTTCCCATGACGTCCTCTTGATAAGGTCCACTATTAGTCAGTAAAGTTACGAAGACGATGTACGAGAATCAGTGTATAAATGGTCATGGTTTGTTTCTGCAGAGTGGTTATATGTGATGGTACTTTAAAGAAAGGACAACCCTAAACTCTAATTTCTCAGTGCCCACACCCTGTTTTATTACAAAGTGTACTCTAGTACTGTGAAAATTGAGACAATTAATTGAAATACTTTAAACACTTGTTCAAGATGTTGTGACACATTAAATAAATATGTCAGCACCAAAAAAAAAAGAACTACGTGAAGAAAGATGATATATGACCTAATGCTATGGGTGAGAGACAGCCCAAGGTGGTGTGTCCACATTGACAAATATTGAGACAGCTCTGAGTGTTCTATGATACAAATATATTACATATTGGGTGTTTGCCATACAGGTGAGGATTCATACACTGAACAAAATTATAAATGCAACACTTTTGTTTCTGTCCCCATTTTTCATGAGCTGAACTCAAAGATTTAAGACTTTTCTATGTACACAAAAGGCCTATTTCTCTCAAATATTGTTCACAAATCTGTCTAAATTTGTGTTAGTGAGCACTTCTCCTTTGCCGAGATAATCCATACATCTCACAGGTGGGGCAAATCAAGCTGCTGATTAGACAGCATGACTATTGCACAGGTGTCCCTTAGGCTAGCCACAATAAAAGAACACTCTAAAATGTGCAGTTTTACTGTATTGGGGCGATATGGGGGGGGGGTCCGAAAATTCCCCATTTTTTCAAATAGTTTCATGCTACCATTTAATATGGTGACCACTACTAACATTCTCTCTGTTTTTGACACAGTTCCCGCATGCTCTTTCCTTTGTTGTGGGAATATTCTGGATGGATCATGATGGCTCTATACAGGCTCTATACAAGCCGGATAAGTATAGCCCTTAATGTCCATATTAGTGAAAGGGACAAGTACGAGCTACTTTCAATAAATTAACTGAGAATCCTGTATTCAACCAACTTCAAAAGTCAGTTTATTTACGGTGTATCACTAATTAAAAAGAAGCTCACAGCTAAACAGTGCACGGCAAGAGCGTCTGCATTCTTCTAATCTTCTAAAAAGATTCTAATGTACAATGTGTAGCCTCGAGGATATCGGTGTCATCCCCAAGTAAGGATATAAGTTAAACATCATATTTTAGCTTATCCGGCATTTGTCCCACCCATAACTTTACATTTAATAATTTTATTTGAGATTTAGATGCTACATGCACTCATACCTATATCGCTCGCTAAAATAGTGAGAAACCAAAAATGTTCCCATTTCTTCTAAAATTCCTGTTTACGGAGAGAAACAGAGGAGAGATCAGAAATATAATGTTGTAATAATATCACTTTCTGTGCTCCAGGGTGATTGAAATAAGTCTTGTATATATCTTCATCTTTCTTCTCATTGGGAGGCTCGCTGTGTTAATATACATCTATATTAGAATACCTCTATGTGTCACTTACAAACAGCAATACGCATCAGAATTATGGTTTCTTCAAGTTTATTTTTACAGTTAGAGATACATAATAAAATAACAAAGGATGTTACAATATAATGGATGCTCACGGGCAGATGGTAATTTCTGGACTCCTGAAGGGAGGGTTAGACTCTACATAGTTAGAGAACAGACAGACAACAAGCAGCAATAGGTCCTTTATCTAATATTCTATATAGCTACGGCCATAATGACGTCACTATTCTATATAACTTTGACCATAATTACATCACTATTCTATATAGCTATGGTCATAACGATGTCACTATTCTATATAGCTGTAACCGTAATGACGTCACTATTCTATATAGCTGTAACCATAATGACATCACTATTCTATATAGCTACGGCCATCATGATATCACTATTCTATATAGCTACGGCCATCATGATATCACTATTCTATATAGCTACGGCCATAATGACGTCACTATTCTATATAGTTATGGCAATAATGATATCACTATTCTATATAGCTATGGCCATAACAATGTCACTATTCTATATAGCTATGGCCATAATGACGTCACTATTCTATATAGCTATGACCATAATGACGTCACTATTCTATATAGCTATAACCACAATGACGTCACTATTCTATTTAGCTTTGACCATGATGACGTCACTATTCTATATAGCTGTGACCATAATGATATCACTATTCTATATAGCTATAAACATAATGACATCACTCTTCTGTACAGCTATGACCATAATGACGTCACTATTCTATATAGCTCTGACCATAATGACGTCACTGTTCTATATAGCTATGGTCATAACGATGTCACTATTCTATATAGCTGTAACCATAATGACATCACTATTCTATATAGTTACGGCCATAATGGCATCACTATTCTATACAGCTATGACCATAATGATGTCACTATTCTATATAGCTGTGACCAGAATGATATCACTATTCTCTATAGCTATGGCCATAATGACGTCACTATTTTATATAGCTATGGCCATAATCATGTCACTATTCTAAATAGCTATGGCCATGATGACGTCACTATACTATATGGCTATAGCCATAATCACATCACTATTCTATATAACTATAACCATGACATCAGTATTCTATATAGCTATAAGCATAATGACGTCACAATTCTATATAGCTATAACCACAACGTCATCACTATTCTATATAGCTATAACCACAACGTCATCACTATTCTATATAGCTGTAACCATAATGACATCACTATTCTATATAGCTATGACCATAATCACGTCACTATTCCATATAGCTATGGCCATAATGATGTCACTATTCTATATAGCTAGAACCATAGTGATGTCACTATTCTATATAGCTGTGACCATAATGACATCTCTATACTATATAGCTATAACCATAATGATGTCATTACTCTATATAGCTATGACCATAATCACTTCACTATTCTATAGAGCTATAACCAAAATGACGTCACTATTCTATATAGCTATGACCATAATGATGTCACTATTCTATATAGCTATATAGTATAGTGATGTCATTATAATCACAATGACGTCACTATTTTATATAGCTATGACCATAATGACATCATTATTCTACATGGCTACGGCCATAATGACATCACTATTCTACGTAGCTATGACCATAATGACTTCACTATTTTATAGCTGTAACCATAATGATTTCACTATTCTATATAGCTATAAACATAATGGCATTACTATTCTATATTGCTATAACCATAATGACGTCACTATTCTATATAGCTATGGCCATAATGACGATACTATATGGCTACAGCCATAATCACATCACTATTCTATATAGCTATAACCATAATGACATCAGTATTCTATATAGCTATAACCATAATGATGTCACTATTCTATATAGCTATGGCCATAATGACGATACTATATGGCTACAGCCATAATCACATCACTATTCTATATAGCTATAACCATGACATCAGTATTCTATATAGCTATAACCATAATGATGTCACTATTCTATATAGCCATGACCATGACATCAGTATTCTGTATAGCTATAACCATAATGATGTCACTATTCTATATAGCTATAACCATAATGACATCTGTTGTGGGCAGAAATATTAATTTAGTTTATATTAGTAAAATGCCTATTTACTCAGAATAATTATAATCAGCATTATTCAATTCTCATGTGATTAACTAAAATGGCCGCGGGGGAGTTTCCCCTCTAACATCGACTAACTACCTCGTGTAACAAGATGGCGCTGGAATCTGGGGGAAACCCTCATGATACCAGTGACATCAACTCCTGTAGGCAGAGCATTAGAAGAACCACTTAACACCTAACCAATTAATGATGTATTATTTCATGTTATCTCTGACAATGCATATGATGTAATCCTGCTTTAAAAGGGACCTGCCGTCCCCTCTGAATAAACATTCCTAAGTTTTTCATCAACCAGAAACTTGTGTCCGGTGTGAAATTACTTCAGGAGCGTGCACGCACTTTTTCTTCAATTTGGCCAGGGGCAGATACACATAATAATCAATATTATTGATTGATTTCCATTTCAACATCACTATTTTATATAGCTATAACCACAATGACATCACTATTCTATATAGCTATGACCATAATGATGTCACTATTCTATATAGCTGTGACCATAATGACATCACTATTCTATATGGCTACGGCCATAATGACATCACTATTCTACATAACTATGACCATAATGACTTCACTATTTTATAGCTGTGACCATAATGATGTCACTATTCTATATAGCTATACACATAATGACATTACTATTCTATATAGCTGTGACCATAATGATGTCACTATTCTATATAGCTATGACCATAATGACATCACTATTTTATATAGCTACGGCCATAATGACGTCACTATTCTATATAGCTATAACCATAATGACGTCATTACTCTATATAGCTATGGCCATAATCACGTCACTATTCTATAGAGCTATAACCATAATGACGTCACTATTCCTTATAGTTATAACCATAATGACGTCATTACTCTATATAGTTATGACCATCATCACGTCAATATTCTATAGAGCTATAACCATAATGACGTCATTACTCTATATAGTTATGACCATCATCACGTCAATATTCTACATAGCTATAACCATAATGATGTTACTATTCTATATAGCTATAAGTACAATGACATCACTATTCTATATAGCTAAGACCATAATGACGTCACTATTCTATATAGCTATGACCATAATGATGTCACTATTCTATATAGCTATGACCATAATGACGTCACTATTCTATATAGCTCTGACCATAATGACGTCTCTATTCTATATAGCTATGTCAATAACGATGTTACTATTCTATATAGCTATGTCAATAACGATGTTACTATTCTATATAGCTATAACCATAATGATGTCACTATTCTATATAGCTATGACCATAATGACGTCTCTATTCTATATAGCTATGACCATAAT